CATCTCATTTGGATGTGTGGTTAGGAAGTTATGGTCTTGCCCTTTTCAAAATCCTAATTCCCGACTTTTTCGATTACTCCTCAATCCTTTATCCAATGGTCATGAAACTTCATGTATAGGTGTAATATGTTATTAGGAACATTTTTGCTTCACACTTTAAGGTCAAATTCCTTATGGTTGAAGAGTTGACTTTTCGGTCAAACGAACAATTGATCGACAACTACTGGATCGCCTGTTGACGTTCTGGGTCTTTTGAGGCCTTGAAACTTATTAAGTAGACTTCAATAAGCCATATGAACTTCATGGACCATAATTCCATCATTGTAACACCTTTTAAATCAAAAGTCAAACTACAATTGACTTTTCCTAATCGAAAATCCTAATCGGGGATCCTGAACTGCACTGTCTTTAATCTTTGGGTGACAACCTCAAATTGGATTCATGCTTGACCCAGTGGAGTATCTTTGATGATTTGGAAACTTGTTTCATGGAGAATCAATCCAAGACGTTGACTGATCAAGCTATCGAAACCTCGATTCTGACTGTACGAAACCCTAAGTCACTTGTATCTTAACAAAGACAAACTTGAAATAGGTTATGGTTAGATAATCAAATGAAAATGATAATCTAAAGGGGTTAAAATTTGGGGTGCAACAGTGAATTAGGTAGTTTGATCAATTTTTGGTTTAGTGAGAAGTTACTTTTAACTTTCTTGTTTGATAATGTTTAGAAAGCTATAAAATGCGGAAAAGTAAAGAACACCGACGACATATCCTGGTTGCCTCACAATTCGAGAGTACTCCAGTCCCCTTACCACATGTAGGAGATTTTATTATTGTTAGATCTTATGGACAAGACAATCCTAGTCTTCATATACAAGACTCTAACAAAATCACTAAGAAAAATCCTCTTGTGATTTACAACAAAAGAAAAATAAAACCATCCTTTCTTTTTCCACTCTTCTTGTTTCCAAAAATCCTGGATAACAAGTTACAGAATTTTGATAATAATAACAATTTTGAATTTGGTACGTATAAGTGCAGTAGAATTTTGATAACAACAAAATTCTAGCAAAGTTGTTCTTCCCTTTTCCTGTAACGATATGAATTTATAAAATATATCTTAAGTGCTCAAAGAGAAAATTTTACCACATTAACTTTCATATAAGATAAAAGTTTCTCTTTGACCACTTAAGATATATTTTATTAATTCATATTGTTATAGGAAATGGGAAGAACAACTTTGCTAGAATTTTGTTGTTATCAAAATTCTACTGCACTTATACGTACCAAAATATTATTCTAGATATATATCATACTATATGAATTAATAAAATATATCTTAAGTTGTTATTCCCTTTTCCTTCTTATTCAAATTTGTCTTCATCAAAACATATTCAACAAGAGACTTGTCTTTACATCTATTGCAATAATAACTTTATGTTTAGTTCTTTTATGCACCAATGTAATTCTACTACATTAGCTCATAAAGAAATGAATTGTAACAACCCGCATAATATATATCTAAAATAATATCATACAACTGTTAATTTTTTGTACTGACACAACATAAGAGCCTAATGACATCATTATATACATATGTCCAAACTAAAAACATCTATAGCACATGTTATACAATAGTGCCTAAAAATAAAAACTAAGATCTATGTACAATCTCTTCATTGCACACAATCGATAGCGGAAGATCACAATGATCAGAATCCATCAAAACATCAACAAACAACTTCTCTTGTATCAAACCTACAAACAACCCCTGAAAAGCAACAACAATATTGGAGTGAGATGATAATTTCAGTGAGTTCCCCTATCCTATGGGTCCATTTGTCTCTACAAGCTTTCTAATCAATTTCTTAGCTCAAGCCTTCAAGGGGAATAAAGACTTAAGAAACTACGAGATTCTCGCATTATATGGAAACATGTACACTTGAGTTCACCAATTTAAATCCATCATTATTCACAAACCTACCAAAAAATCTTTCCTCGACCACCCTACGTGTAGGATTATTGACACGGGTCACAAATCCTTTTATCATGCTTCGACATTCTTGTGGAATTCAGATTCTTCTATAGGATTCATACCCAATATAAGAATCGTCACTCCCTATAAGAATCAACACCCATTTCAATTCTTATTCCTCGCATGGGACTCTAACCCACTTTGAGGTCACATCTTCTATGAGACTCTAACCCATTTTGTTGCACTACGGGACTCTAATCCATTTGGTTGATCATATGCGAAACAATAGTCCATATATCCCAATTTTTACTTTTCATAAGCATCAAACTTTGGGACAGGCACGACAATGGGCATGTTTCCGAATACATGACTAGTTTATCATTCACAACGTGATTGTACTCATCCATCACTAGGTGATCTTCCTCACCAATTCCTAGCATCTAGTCATGTTCCTTACAAAGCATATTAGTTCATGACTAAGCTATAATTCTAGTTACTACTTGTCCACAACACACTCCGAGGTACCTTTTCATCCAAGCATCACTATCAAAGTCATTTTCATAACCTAAGTTATCTTTCTAATTTATTCACCTAGTTATACTCCTAGGTTTCCTCACTCATCTTCACAAGTTTTTAATCATGTTATTTCACAATAAAAACATCCAACTAATTTATAGAATACACATTAGCATATCAAAATGTCATACATGAAACACACATAGTATCATAACATGTCATAATAAACCCTAGACAAATCCATCTTACAACTCACTCATCATTATCTTAGGTTATTCAAATTGTCATGCACAAACAAGTCAAACATAAGTAGTTCACAAAAGGCACATCTTCATCACTATATGCCACAAGCATACTTGGTTAATTCATGGTCTCTCATCACTATGCAATAACCCATTGGATTATATTTCCAATGCTTCAAGTCTCATAACAATCGGATTCACGGTTCTTGAATTATGGTGAAAACCAGAACCACACATTTTAACCTAACTAAGATTCTAGGTTAAACCCTAAACAATTGAATGAATTTTGACCAATTAATGATGATCTAATACACATGTATCATGTTGTATGTTATAGTACTTCTAAGTTGCATTAGAAACATGAAACAAGTGGTTTTTTTGGCAAAACAAGGGTGAACCAAACGATTGCACTAGGAGCCAATCGATTGAACAAAGTTTCTAACTTCTGTTTTTGTGAAATTGGACAGGACTAATTGATTGAGCATTGTAGCTATTGCAGTGAGAATAGGATGTTAAGCTATTGAATTAACTTGAATCACAAATCATTGAAGTTCACCACCAAACTTTGATTTATCCAAAGGAAAGGGTAAAAATCGAAGAAAACCCCTAAGTGCGCAATGTAAAAACAAAGCAAAGAGATCTAAGGTTCGGGGGTTGGCTATACCTAGGGAAGGTGTTATCATCCTAAGTATCTGTAGTACTCTACAGGAACCTCTTATTTGTATTTGTGTTATGCTAAAGTTTGCTTGCTAAGGAATGATGCTAAAGATAAAGACCTAGGGTATATACAAAGTATGCTCGCCAAGACATCGCATCTTGTGCCTACGTATCCTGACTAGGATGGAATCAGAGTATTCATAATTCACCTAACTAGGGGTGGTTAGTTGTTAGTGAGCTCGCCAAGGATATGGATCCTTGTGCCTAAGTACCCTCATTAGGGAATGATGAATCAGAGTGTCCGTAGTTCTCCTAACTACGGGTGAGGAACTCTTGATTGCGGTCAAGGTTCCCAAGGGAAAAGGTAGGTGCCTGTGGCAAGACACTTACATAGAGTGCGGCGAATCTAAACCTAAGGCTAGGTAAAAGGGAAAGGAAGTGTCCATGGCAAGACACTCACATAGAGTACGACGACTCTAATCCTAAGGCTAGGATAAAAGGGGAGCTAAGTGTTCATGACCATGACACTCACATAAAGTACGAAGACTCTAATCTTTAGGCTAGGATAACCGAGTAAGACTTTAACAAGGTATCAAGAGAATGGTGGACAAGGCTATCCTAAACATGACATGGCAGTCAACAGGAGGGGATCCTTTCCTTTGGAATTTTTAAGAAGAGATTTGGGATGTAAAAGGAAAATCTATGTGAATTGAATCCTAAGTGTTGTCATACAAAGATAAAGAACCTAAAATATATCCTACTTCGATCTTAATCGAAAATTAAGTCAAATTAGAAGATCCTAAGGGAACATATGGATATTCGAGTTAGCAAGTAATCAAAGCACAGTTCAAAAGTCAAAATGAATTATCAAGACAAACATGGAAGTAAAAAGGCACAGAATAGAATAAAATAAAAAGAGAAGTATTATGACATGAATGATGAGTACAAGATATGAGCAAGAGAATAGTCAGAACAAGAACTAGAATCGCAAGATTAAGCAAAAGGCGTGTAAGTCATAAGTCACAAAAGTTAGAAGTTAAATCGATTAAAGAAAATAACTAACAGAAATAAAATATACAATTATCGAAAATAAATCCTAAATAATCATTCTAAGCATAAAATCAAAATTAAGAAGATTAATCTACAAAATTTAATTGAGAAAAAATATTTTAGATTTTTTTATTATTGAAAACATAGTAAGCTAATTAATCTAAACATAGATTATTAATTCTAATTAAAATATCCATGTTATTTAAAACAAAATAAAAAAAAAAACAAACTTAATAAAAACACTAAATCTAAAATTAATAAAAATAAAATAATAAAAAAGAAATGAGAGGTGGGCTGGTGCAATAGTGATTGAAGAGGGTGTAGGAAAACTCATTCATATTGGGCTGAGCCCAAAGGAAAAGGTAAAAAAAAAAGAAAATAATAATAATAATTAAAATAAAATATGAAGAAAAAAAAATTGAAAAGGATATAAACAAAATCAAAGTCACGACAGAAAAAGCTAAATGAAATCCTAATTTACCCAAACTTCTGTCATCAACGTTTCATCTCCTTAGCTGCTACTTTGATGTTCTCCTTCTTCTGTTCCCTTTGCGGCGAATGCATTTTTTTCACCGCGGCGGCTCGTCCTCTTCTAAGCTCTTTTTGTTGTGCTTCCCTCCTACTCCCTCTCTACTTCCCTCGCGACGCGATCTCTTTCTCTTATTCTCCTCGTGGAGGCAGCGAGAGCAACGAGATACCGCAGAAACACCACAACGACTCTATTACCACGCAGAAAACATCGGCTGTTTGTGGTTCCCTTTGACTCTAAACGACTATTTCAACGAAACCAACACATTCTTATCGTGCAAACGCTCAGGGAAACACGACGAAGAAGAGAAGAGGAAATCGGTTCCAACAAAGAAACAGGTATGGGCTTCGATTCATTTTTCTTCCTCTTCAACCTTCCCTGCTCTGTTCTGTGTACTAAAACCTTCTTTGATTGGTCACTGTTTGTTGAGGATGTGTTGGAGGAGGATGGTTTTTTAAAAGAAGTTCGAGAATGATTTTGTTTAGCTGATGGCTATGAAGTTTGTCAATATTGGTTGTAGGGAGATTTTGTGGAGATATGGTGAGGTTGTGGTGAGAGATTCATATTGTGAAAAGTGTTGTTGATGGCTTTTGTGAAAGGAAATATGGTGAGGTATGAAGTTAACGTGAGGATTTGTAGGTTGAGTTTATAGTGGTTTATGAGAAGCTGTAAGCTATTGTTTGTCGGTATCGCAATCGAAACAACACTGAGATGCTTTTACGGTGTGTTTTGGTATCGCAGCAGTGGTGTATGCTTGGAATGTTTGCTCACGGGAATGAAATGCATACAATGGTAGGTTTTGTGAAGACAAAGGGTGGTTATGGTATATTAGCAGCAAGTGGAAGAAGGGGTGCGTGAGTTTATGCTATATGAAAGTTAAGAAAGCTTTTTTTTTCTATACCTAAAGAGATAGTCTTGTTTTATTATTGAAAATAAATGCAGATTGTGAGGGATTAAGGTTTTTGAAGGTTGGTTTTAGGTGAACATTGGTGAGGGTGTTTTTGAGAGTTGCAATAGCAGGTATCTCCCTCCTCCTTGTTCTGAGTTTTTTCTTCTGCTCATTAATACCAATCCCAAAACTAGGTTCTTAAGTTTCAATTTTTTTATTGTTGAGTTGCCATTTTCTTGCAGAATCGTGTAGCAGGCCTTGGTCTGGTGTATTTCCTGGGCCTTTTTGTATGATTTTTTATGTAATAGACATTTGTAAAAAAAAATATATGTGGGCCTTGTATAAATAATAGTAAAAAGAATATTATTTATTCACAAAAGATGAATCTTTTAAAAAAGAATAAATGAATTGTGAAGTGGATTTAAAAAAAAAATGATCAATTGAATAAAATTTGGACGAGGGTTTGAATTGGCACAATGATTTAACAAGAATGGATGTGGGCTAACTTGATATTGAAAATGGTTAGGAGAATGAACTAAGGAAATGGATTATGGATAAAAACGAATAACAATCACGGATTGGGATATAGACATAGTTATGCAGGTGGACAATTGGTTTTCAAAAGTGGATAGAATGGGCGATGAATTGAAATGGATGTTATCACGAGAATGGTTGTTGAAGTTTGAAAAGGACTGGCAACATCTTGAAGAAACACACTGAACTTGGATACTCTGCAGCTTGATTTCTTTTGATAACCTAAACCTGCACAAAACCCTGACGTGGATCCTCAAACACAAGTACTTGAATTAAATCCACTTGTGTCCTTAAAATAGGCCATGACCCAGATGACTTGGGATATTAACTGCAACTTGATTTTACTAAAAACCCTAATTAAAATTCAATTGGCCATGACGGTTATCCACCTTGAAACAAACTGCCTTTACCACAATTTGATAACTTGATCCTAAACAAAACACTTGTTTGACCCAGATTAGGTCAAACTCCTATTGAGTTTCAAACCACACCACACACCTTTAACCTGATGACTTTGCCTGATTCTTGATTCGATCTTGCAAGACCTGAGCCTTGAAGAACTTGATGATGAAACCAAATTGCACTGGATTATTGAGAAAACGAGACCTCTTGAGAATACGAGAAAATGCTTGCATGAAGTCTCTTGAAGCAAACCCTAATTCACAAATGAAACAAAACAAACAAAGGCTGATAACTTAGGTAGATATGCAATAATGGCTGACCTAAATGATATGCAAATTATCAATGAATATAAGGGTAAAATTTGTGGTATGACAGTTGTCCTATTTAAATATCTTTACCGGATGACATCAGTGATGACAATCCTCATGAAATCATGGTGAATGGTATTTAAATACAGAAAATAACAATTTTTGCCCTTAGATGCAATGACGATGCTATGCTATGGACAAAAGAAACTAATCTATAATGCTGACATGCAATGAACTCTAACATGATGAAAATGATGGGATGATAAATGCAAAATGCAGACAACAGCGAAAGGAAAAGGATAAAGTCAACTCAATGAGTAACAATTCACTGGGGATGACAATAACACTCAGGAACAAAAAGAAACTAGGGAAATCTAAAGTGATTGATCAACAGGTCTGAGTATGACCATGTGACACTTTAGAAGGGAGGGATCCTCACTAGAGGTAGAACCAAGACATGGTCTTCACTGAGAAGTATCTAGAGTAGTTGATCAACAAGTTCAAGCAATGCCTGGCTGGCACTCTGAAAAGACAGGACATAATCCTCAAGGCCTTAGGATTAGACCAAAACAAAACATCCTCATTGGAAGTAGAACCAAAATATGGGTTTCGATGGAGGTATCTAGAATGATTGATCATCAAGCTCACATATGACCGGATGACATTCTAGAAAGAAAAGATCCTAAATGAAGGTAGAACTGGAAATATGGTCTCCACTGGGGAAGGAAATAAAATAAGACATCTAAAGTCATGGATCAAGAGGTTCAAGCCATGACCAGTTGAAAATCTAGAAGAGAATCATCGAAGGTAACAACCATCACCGTCAAAGGGTTGACGGAAGGATAATCGAAATAAAGAGCCACATCATCAAAGGGTTGATGGAAAGAACAATTTCACAAAAGAGTGACATGGTCAAAGGGTTGATGGGAGAGAAACATTATCATCGTCAAAGGGTTGACGAAAAGATAACTGAATAAATAAAGACATCGTCAAAGGGTTGATAGAAGGAGGAAATATTCACTAACGAGTGACATCATCAAAGGGATGATGAAACAAAACAACTGTCATCACTAAAGGGTTTACGAAAACGAAAACATGATCTCAGAATGCATAATCAAAGGGTTAACGGGAATGAAAATATGAACCAAAGAGACACATCGTCAAAGGGTTGATGGAAAGAACACCTCTCCGAAGGAATACATCGTCAAAGGGTTGACGGAAAAAAAAATCCTATTCTCGGAATGTCCTCATCAAAGGGCTGATGGCAAATGACTGATCGAGGGTAACACCAATTGTAACTACAAAAGGTTAAATGACACCAAGGATGGATAAGCTTTTCAGGAGAGACTGCCACTTATCGCCATAGAAAACAAGCTGAAGGAACACCAAAAACAGATAAGCTTCTCAGGAGAGACTGCCACTTATCGTCGTAAAGGTAGTAATGAAAATACTAGCTTCTCAAGGAGACTGCCACTTGTTGGCTGGGTATAAATTCCAAAGAGACATTGTTACAACAACACTGTTGGAGAATGGGTTCTGTCTTTAATTAGGATCTGTAAAAGATTCTTCCTGCAAGACATGGTGCAAAATAAATGCACACTCAAACTAGGTTCGGCGACCTAATCAAGTCCAAAAGCAATACCTGCCAGGGACCAAAGTTCAATCTAGGAATAAGCTAGAAAGAAATGGTCAAACAAGACTTCACCCATTGAAGAATGAACCAAATGGGGATTTATCTTATCCAAACATGGAAAAGATAATTGAAGCAACCATCATCCACGAGGATCAAACTCTGTGGGGAATTTAAAAAGGACGGACACTTTATGCTTAAGGATGATAACTCTATTGGGAGAGAAGACAAACTCAACCACTTGGGGAATAAACGCCAAAGTGAACAAAACATGTAAACACCAGAAAGGTAGCAAAAATGCTCTGATGCCATGCATATGTATGAATGCATGTATGCCATGTTTATGCTTATGTTGACAAAACAGACAAAGGAAGAAAAATTGGATACGAAATATACATCTCGACAAGGATACTCAGCCAACTTCACCAGATTGGAACATCACTAGGGATAAACATACAAAACCAATAACTCTACTTCAAGGTTTCAACCTTCTTTGGGGAGAAGAGTACTCCACTTGGGGTATAACATCACGACTTCACTATGGGATTTCCATCATGAGACTGATTTCCTTATTGGAAGAGAAAGATCCATGGGGAATTTCCAAGATCAATTGAAGTAGTAACTTACTGGGGAGCTGGCAAAAGATATTACGAGAACAATGTAGTTCTGCACTTTAATTGCATCATGATCATCACGAACGGGCAACGTCTCTTGCAACAAATAATCTTCAAACCTCCTCTGCCCCAAATTACATGGTTTGTGAGAAGAAGCCATCAAGATGATTTTACAGAAGAATTGGCATACAAGATGTCTCAATGTCTTCAAACTCTTGGAGAGATTCAACAAATCTCAATGTAATGGCCCCAGATTAACTGCATTTGCACAACAAAATCCTCAGACTTTTCCTTCAGACTATGGAAGTAACAGTTGGGGAACAGACTTGCCTTTATTGGTGGGTTAATCTGTGAAGAAGTTTCCCTAGACTAACTGACCTTTGAGAGATTTATCGAATCTCGACCTGATTTCCCCTGATTAGCTGAATCTTATAGCAACTTGCCTTCCTACTCAACAAAGTTTTCAAGAGTTTTACACCTTAGCTTGATCAATCCTTCCATTACAGGAACCTTCTTGAGGTTAAGTGCTTACTTGCAAGTAAAACTGATCATTTTGAAAATGATAATTTTAATGCAATGCATATGAAAATTTTGAAATCCAAGTCTGTTCACTGGAAATATATTGCGACATATAGTGAATAAATTACTAATCAGAATGTCACATGAATGATAAGCAAATCCCTTTAGGAGTCAGTTTTGACGTGATTTTACCAAAGTATGATTTCGAAACAACCCTGCTTCAATTAGGTCTTTTAAGGTTCGTAACGTGACCTGGTTCACGGTTTGAGAAAGAAAGGATATAAGGCTCCAAGTTTTGTTTTAACCCACCGATTCTCCTTGATATCCTCCAGTCCTAAATTCAACTAACTTGACACATGCATCTTAAGTTTGGTGGTGTAAGAGTGAAGATGACAATTCAATATTTTGTGAAATGGCAGTCACCTTATTTTGTTTTTGGCCATGGATGTTAGTAACCTTATTTTGCCTAAGGATTTGAGGACATCTTTTGCTAGATTTTTATTTTTGATCCCTACTTTTGCATGGACTGCTTTTGATTTTTTCAAGTCCATCGGAATTGCCTTGATTTTGCCTAAGTCTTCTCTTTAGGTGTTCGACTTAACAGGCTTTCAACTCTTTTTTTGGAAAGGCTTGTGAGTGCCAAGTCATTAGTCATTGAAGAACAACCGATACATCTGCATGATCAGATTACTTGAACACTACCCTGCCCCAGGTTAAGCTTAAGGGCTTAGAAATCCGAAAGAAACCCCTACTTCTAGGCTCGAAGTGGCTAACTAGGGGTCAATTCCTGATCTCTCCAGTGTTTAGGGGATTTGAAACAATGTCTGTACATCATCAGCAAGGTGTTATTCAAAAGCATACTATCAGAGATTTTGTGTCTTTCGATTTCATCATCCTCCCTCGGACTTTGCTTAAACAAGCGTTTGATATTAAAAGTATGAGTGAACACGAATGGATTTAATCAAAACATGCATATGTATTTCATTATTATAACTATGTTTAAACAACAATGTCTTAAAGCAAGTAACACTTAACATAAAAGAAACTACAAAATGCAAAATAAAGACATGATCCAAAAGATTTCTAG